AGAATATGTAACTGATTAGACATGAAGAAACGTTGAAAAAAAAGTTATGAAAGTCCATATACTCAAAAAAAGTATTCAGAATTATTCCAAAAAAATCTGAAGAACTTCAACCATTTCTACTTGTCTTTTTCTCAACTGCGCATATTACAGCCACATACTTCTTCCACTAATCAAACATCCTTACAATCCCTTGAGATTCTAGAAACAACAGCTTTCCGACCTTTATTTCCCATAGACCGAAACAGCTCCATTACCCTTGTTCATAAAGTAAGTCAAAAAAAATTCGATCGATTTCGGCGTGCCATTCGCGAGCAGCTAGAAAAACAAATAGAACATCAAGTGGGCGGCATTGATTGCTTCCTCTGTATATTCCAGTATTAGGTGAATTCGAAATTTTGGAATCACTCAGGAAATGCATTCGTCAATAGAATCCCCTCCTAGGGCAGAGCCAAGTCCGGGGCCAATAGGATTTATCCCGTTAACGGTCCAAGTTAAAATAACAGGTTTCCAATCTCCACACCTCACTTACCTTGTGATAGGATCAAGCATTCAATAGTAACAACTCTTCCGACAACGATTACCTCTGAGAAATCATGGGGCTCTTAAATATTGTTAATTTCCTTCNGGGGCCAATAGGATTTATCCCGTTAACGGTCCAAGTTAAAATAACAGGTTTCCAATCTCCACACCTTACTTACCTTGTGATAGGATCAAGCATTCAATAGTAACGACTCTTCCGACAACGATTACCTCTAAGAAATCATGGGACTCTTAAATATTGTTAATTTCCTTCGCTGGCAATCTGTTCAAGATAATGATACTGATAGCTTTTGAATATAAAAGCTATTTTCACTTTCTTAAAATATTCACGGCCCTTTACGATAGAACTCATTACTTTTTATGTGCGTTTTTTTATACTTACATTCTAATGATCAATTGAAATAGCTCAGCTCAATAGATCTGTGCTGGTAATCAGTATTGAGAAATCAATGAAATGTTACAGGAACTCTTACCGAGCATATCGTCCTTTTCCTTGTACACACTATACATCCAGTCACGAAGCTTCTCCTCATCATTAAATGGCACCTGCAACACAGGTAACAATTGAAATGTTTTGACCGTATTACTCAGTAAGCACTTCTGATGGCTTTCCTTTGGTCAATATACAACTATTCAAGACCAAATGAGATATGAAGAGAAGAAGGAGCAATTAGGGAATGGGGCTAACAAATCCTAGCGCATGCCTCACCGATTAAAACACCACAAGAGTCGGTAGCCCACATGTGAGCACAGCCCTGCAGTTTCCTTTTGTCCAAAGCAGTGCCCCCAAGCTACCCATGACACACAAGATGAGAACTACAGAATTTCGACATCACTAGCAAGTTACTGAGGTTTCCGATTGGCTAGACATTTTTCTTGAAACAAGTTGTTCACCCCTATGAAGCGGATTCCCTCCCTTTCATTCGCATCGCTCCCTGTTTTCCCTGAATGCCTCGTGTTGGCTTTCGTAAAGCTTTTACTGTTTTCGCCTTTCACAAACTGGCTGTACAGCAGATTCTTATCTCGAGCGACAAATGCACAAACAACACTCATCTCATCAATGACTGATATAGGTAAAAACCGCTGGGCGTAACCGTAACACACAACGACCAGGAAGTGGATTTTTGGACAGAGTTGTTGATATTTTTATGGAGTAGTAAATACGGCAGACTCCCTTCCTAGGAGTATGTCTTTCTGGAGTACAACCCTTTAACCATGCGTTTTTACAAATCAAAGAAAGCGCACACGTCACAGCTCAGATTCCTAATCCCTGAAAATAGTCTGGTCCAAAACTGAGGAATTTTTGGCTTAGGGTCCCATGAACGAAAAGCGAGGTGTCAGACATAACCAGTTCCCCACAAGTAAATAATTGGTATTGAAATTCAACCAATATGTAACCACTAGAAACACATGATTTCTGGAGGAGCACGGGTACCAACCTCATCCGCATTGTATATCTTGTAGTTGACACCAATGTCGCACTTTTCACGAGTGCCAAATCCAAGCGTGGCGAGGCTGAGCGGAATGCCATTCGGATAAGCAATCGTTACGTCCAATACATACCGAATAGGAGGACGAGTTTCTGCAAAAATCAGCAATTATAAACCAAGCCACATAGATCAATGATCTTTCCACATAAAATTGTAGTAGCAAGTAAATCTGCCACTTCCGGGGTAAATGACCTAATCATCAGGTTTGGTGAAAGACTCGGAAGGAATAGTTGGACCATCAACGCCTAAATCCACCAAGAGATCCACTTATGAGATTGCAGTTAATATAAATCACCATTAATTCGGTTAATCAATTTCGAATGACTAATTTATCCATCTTTCTTTCGTAAAAAGTCTTGGTGGTTAACACCGATAGCAGCACATCTCACACTTGCCCTTTTCCGTAATTTATGATTTCCTTTAGAGATTCACCAGGAGAGCAATCATTTGATGAATCTTTCCGCGAACGTATGCTATCTCCGAGTGACAGTTTTTGATACGAACGTCCGTAGAGCGATAAGCTTAGGCGGAAACTAAGACTGGAACACCCTTTCTGATAATTTCCAAGCGAACACCCTCCGAAATACGTTTTTTTAGGCAGGTATGAGTTATTTCCAATAAACTGGTTTACAATCTGGAAATGGACATAGCCGAGTCGTAAAAATAACTAAATAAACTTAATTTGAGATTAATTTTTTCATAGGGAAAAAGAAATTCGTGAAAAGTACTGGTCGGGAAACTCTTATGGTATTATTATTTAAAAAATGCCCGTGATGGAAGAGATCTTTTCATGAGTTCTTTGCCAAAACCTCCAAAAAGAGGTAGTTAAGGGAGAAGCTTGATACAGCAAAAGAATTGAATTCGCGAAAGAAGTTTACTTCAGTGTTCTTTGACCATTCCATAGAACATAGGGAATGAATGATCTTTACCCATAGTTTTCCTGCAGCAAAAGCAAACACTCCGATATGTTTTGAATGCCTTCATCCGACTTCGACCACGCCCCACAACACTCTCCTTTAAGAGGGAGGTATTGTCGGCCAAGTAGACAAGCTGCTCTTCTACCATTCACTTTTACAACCACCCGTTCATTAGGCAGTCTGAGCACAGGCTGCCAGCAAAGGCTTTTTTCTCTCGGCGCTATCAATTCAATTATCGCTGCTCCCATACTGGATTCTCGTAAGTGTTCTCGTGAGGGCCGAGCCGTCAAACACACTATTGATTACGCTTCCTCGTCTCATTGTAAGGAGCAAACTGATCCCCTTGGTTCAGTCCACAGTCAGCAGTTAAGAACTTTCATTTTCAAATATGCTATTTCAGGATATGACTCAATTACTTGGCATAGAATTCGCACCTCTTAATGTGCCTTTGGAAAGACGACTTCAAACTTTGGGTGCAATACATTTCTTCATGATCTCCTTAATACTACCTGTTTTGACGGTTATTTTTGCAGTTTATATGGTAAGTTTTTTGCGTTCTTACAAATTCTTGTAATTCTTATTATTTAGCACTTAAACTAGATGACCTAGGACAACTTGAATAGAACTCGCCACCTTTTATCAGAGCCAAACTGCGCAAAAGTTAGGAGAATTGTCTCCGACTTTGGGTCAGAATCTCAGATAACGCCTTTGGAACAGAGATCATTTCCGTTCCCCTTCAAATATCGATTCAACTGGACAGCAAAATAAAAACTGCTGAAAATCTTATTAAAAACGTCAAAAAGGTGCAGTAAGAGTTTGGTAGAGAAGGGTACGGTAAACAAAATAAGCCTCAAAAAGTCAACAAACTTCAAGGCCTTGCTTATTCACTAAGGGACAGGCATACCACGGTGAGGGAAACAATAGAGTACAATGGGTAAGGAGAAACAGTGAAAGCAAAGTGCCAAGACCACACTAACTTTAAAACCTTACCGAAAAGTCGAAAAATTGGTAAAAGTAAACCGTCATGTATTATTATTTTGGTGCTGGTCTGTCAAATACTGATCAGTCCGATTTTTGAACTTTGAAACCTGATCGTTGAAATATCCCATTACCAGTAAACCAGCCATTTGCGTATAACAATAGCAACGCCAAATGCAACGATAAACAAAACAGGGCGTACAGATAAAGGTACTTTCCTTGTCAATGAGGCGATACTCCTTTTCAGCTATTCACTATTCTGTGGCCGATATCAACGGCATACTTTGTTTGGTTGTATTACGATTGGAATTCACCGAAACGTGGTGCTTACCGTTCCACTTGGTTTTTACGGCAACGGATTCACAACTGGTATGCAAACTACTTCCCGGTCAAACTACACAAAACAGCAGAGTTGAGCCCTGACGAGGTGAGCCTTCCAAGAACATTCCATTTGAACAGTACAGAACTTAATATTGCAGAACTATCTAGTAGGCAGTCACCCTCATGGAATCATATCAATGTCAGCATTCATCAACTTTGCCACCAACGGGACTGGAGTTCTTGAGATGTTTCCCGAGATCAGCTTTCATCTCTGCACTTTAGTAGGGCAATTTTATACGCCATTTCGACGAGAATGGGGTCTATTGCATGGAATGATCGATTGTAGCCGTGAGAGCCTTTACCATGTTCTCAACGGCGAAAAGGTATGTTACTTCAAAGCACAGAAGTAGAGCTGTAGTAGATCCACTCGTATTCCAGGGCAAAGCTTGCGTGCTAGTAGTCGGTGGAGCTGAAGAAGCTCTTGATGCTCATCCAGGTCATCACATTCTAACCATTCACAAACGTAAAGGATTCATCAAGTTAGCTCTGGAAACTGGCGCTCAACTTGTGCCATGCTATTCTTTCGGAGAAAACGATCTATTCCATCAGGTGAGCTCTATTTTAAATTGGATCCGCTGGCCACGTGTTACTATAACTACAACTTGTTCCATCGATTTACTTTGGTCTATTAGATATTAACTCCGGGATTAGATAAAATCTCTGCCAAACCTCCTTATGTCTCAACCGAGGATGAGAAATGAGGACTAAAGGACTTTCGAAGCCACCAGCAGAAACCGGTCCAACCCTCACTATACGGCGAATCTAATAGTTGTTCGATTCCAATGGATTAAACTGGCCCGTAGTTTGCGCAAAGTCGAAGATGAGGAGTCTTTACTAATGGCGAAAGTGGAAAGCGTATAGATGGTTGCTGAGCGAATACTACGGACGAACATTGGTAGAATTTTTGTCGTAAATCATGAAGAAATAAGGGAAGCACGGCACAGCTGTACTTCGAGGAGTTATGACTGAAGTAAAAATGGACCTCGAAAACAAATGCAAAAACCTTATATAAATGTGTGGGCTCAAATAGTCCTGGACAGAAAATGTTACAATATTTCCAATTTCGCAGTCCCCGCACTTATTGGGCGCTGCACTAATTTCAGAGTATTCCCGATTTTTCCACTTTTGTTATAGATATAGAGACGTTCGTAAGGTTTTTTTTAAAAAGTTTTTCGAGAGCAAATCGTGCTTTCTTCGTGTAAAGAAAGCTTAAATAACGACTTCAGGCGGACAACCCAAAAGGATCCACAATAAGAATGATTCAAACGACACTAAAGAATTTCGTGGGCATATCACCTCCAGTTTTCCACGGTCGAGGTGTCTTCAACTACAACTTCGGTTTACTGCCGTATAGGTGAGGAATATCTAGGAGCAATCGCTTGTTAACATCTACTAGTAACTAGAAATTTTCAGGAAACCAGTTAACACCGTTTTGGGAGCACCAATCAAAGTGGTCAAGACCGAAAATCCAACCCAAGAACAGATAGACGATTTACACAGAGAATACGTCACGAAGCTGCAGGAACTATTCGACACAAACAAAACCAAGTACGGTGTCCCTTCGCAGACACAACTAGTACTGCAGTAATTTCGAACGAGTAGCTCATCTTTACCACCTGCCAATATGACCTCAGAATACGAGTAGCCTCAGAACGATTATAATGGTAGTGGAGACATGATTATTGGAACATTACAGGTTCTCATTCCACTGGAAAACCCGGTTTGTCATGTAATAATTGTTGCTAGTAAATCATTGAAAATAAATGTATTTACATTCTTCGACAGCCACCGTCTTATGTTCATGTTCCAGAGAGAAAGGATTAAACTTATCGGCCCTTTTTCACAAATGCCCCACACGTTCAACATCGACAACCGATGTATACGTGGGCGTCTAATTATTTCTGAATGGATTAGGTATCAACCAAACGACAATGGAGAGATAGCATAGCTGACTGGCCATGGTAAGATTCGGTCTGGGCCTTATTTGGGAGCCAATTACGCAGTACTGTTCTCCTCCCACTTTCTTAAAGGTCCAAACTTTTTGAAATTTCGGCCGATTTTGCGTATGAAAATTTTACGGTCTTATCCTTGATACTCTTCCCTCAGTGTGCACTCAAAACAGTATAAGTGGGCAGTAATCAACACCTGTGTCAACGTTTTGAGTCACCGATAAAATTTCAATTAGAACCAAGGTGGGAACAAGTCATTTTGTAATTTTTAACCCATTGGCGAGCGCGCCTTCTATATAGTCCTTACATTATCTTTTAATTTCTCTTATAACTGTAGTTGGAAATGAATGAATCCTGGACCACAATGCCTCGAGCTTCTCTAGAAGGCTGTGGGCTCAGCT